ATGGCCAATGGTGGAAACCCTTCTGATACAGTTGTCCCCACCCAAATCTCATGTTCTGTTGTAATCCCCAGTGTTGGAAATGGGGCCTGGTGGGAGGTGATTGGATCACTGGGGAGGCTTCTGATGGTTTAGCACCATCCCCTTAGTGTTATTGTCATGATAGCAGTTCTTACGAGATCTGCTTGTTTGAAAGTGTGTAGCACCTTCCACCTCTCTCTTCCTCCTGCTCTGGCCAGGTGAAGTGCCAGCTTCCCCTTTGCCTTCGACCATGACTGATGTCAAGCAGATGCTGCCATGCTTTCTGTGCAGCCTGCAGAATGATGAGCCAATTAAACTTCCTTTCTTTATAAATTACTCAATCTCAGGTATTTCTTAATAGCAGTGCAAGAATGAACTAATACATCTTCCTACTGAGTCAACTTGACATTGTGATTGTGCTTTGGGGAAAATGGTTATGGATAGCTGAGTAAAAGAGCTGATTGCTAAAAAGCTGTACTTTCTGGGAACCTAAACTTTTTTGCTTTGGGGTCTCATGACTAATATTTCAGAGAAGTGCTTTCCCTGGGACATTGAAAACCCCTTTGGGTGAATCAGCAGGTGGCAAATATCGGAACTGGCAGTGATGGCAAATGGAATAGCCAGATTCAACTTGCAGGTGATGACGGCCTAGTTAGGCCCCAGCACAGTAGGGCAGGAAGTATATCTGATACAGCTCAGTAAGTTCCATCTAGCCTTGAGGGAGTAAGGTAAAATTCCTGTACTTCTTCCGGGTGCATTGTAGTTCTTGGATTAGTTTATCCTTAGGAATCCTTAGGAATATTTATGAATAAAAACTGCAGTAGTTATCCATTGCACTATAACAAATTACCATAAAATTTAGTAGCTTAAAACAGTAAACATTTATTTCATATTCTCAATGAGTCAGGAATCCAGAAGTGGCTTAGCTGGGAGATTCTGGCTCAGGGTCTGTCATGAGGTTGCAAGCAAGCTGTTGGCTGGAGCTGCAATCCTCTGCAGCTGGAGGAAGGCACGTGCTTGTAGGCAGGCCTCAAGTTCCTCCAAGGTTGTTCACTGGAGACAAAAGTTCCTTAGCACGAGGAACTCTTCAAGTCTTGATCAGTTCAGGCTGCTGTAACAGAATACTGTAGACTAGGTTTGTAAACAACAGAAATTATTCTCACAGCTCTGGAGACTGGAAGTCTGAGATAAGAATGTCAGCATCATCAGGTTCTGGAGAGGGCACATCTTCTGGGTTGCAGACTGCTGACTTCTCTTTGTATAATCACGCCGAAAGACAGCCAATTAGCTCTCTGGTCTTTCTTATGAGGGCACTAATCTCATACCTGAGGGCTGCACCCTCATGACCTAATCACCTCCCAAAGGCCCCACCTCCAAAATCATCACACTGGGATTAGGGTTTCAACATATGAATTTGCGGGGGAACATATTCAGTCTGCTGCACTGGCTAAGTGTCCTCATAACATGGCAGATGCCTTCCTTCAGAGTGAATGATCCAAGAGGAAGCCATAGTATCTTTTATAACAATCTCTGGGCCTTGCATGGTGGCTTACACCTGTAATCCCAGCACTTGGGAAGCCGAGGCAGGCAGATACAAGGTCAGGACTTCAAGATCAGCCTAGGCCAATATGGTGAAACCCCATCTCTACTAAAAATACAAAATTTAGCAGGATGCAGTGGCGGGCACCTGCAGTCCCAGCTACTAGGATGTCTTTTAGGCTGAGGGAGGACAATCACTTGAGCCCGGGAGGTGGCAGTTGCAGCGAGCCAAGATCGTGCCACTGAACTCCAGCCTGGTCAACAGAGTGAGACTTTGTCTCAAGAAAAAAAAAAATCTCTGGAGTGGCATATCATTACTTCTGCCATATTCTATTGGTTATATAAATCACCCTGGTGCAGTGTAGAAGGAACTGCTTAAGGTATGAATAGCAGGTGGTGGAGATCATTGAGGACCATCTAAGAGGCTGGCCATATGAAGACCGAATGTCCTAATAATTTAGCTATTGGGAATTCAAGGACAACAAGCAGATAGAGATTTTTGTCTGTGTGGTTGATAATACCTATATAAAAACTAAAACAAAAAAAACCTGGTGCATAGATGTCCAGCTAATATTAAATAAATGAATTAATTTTAATATTAAAGGAAACAAATTAATATTAAAGGAACATTATTGTTATCCTGCAGGAACAGGATAAGATCTGGGTATTGGTTCCATTTGTCTTCTTTACTATATTTTGCTTAAGATTCAATTGATTTGCATATGATCACTGACCATAAGAGAATCTTTTCTCTTAGTGGAAAATAAAATTAAATTGAGAGTTAATATTTGCTAGATAAAAATCCACTTCTTCAATTTGAATGTCACACTTTGTTTTGCCTAGCTCTTCTTCTTTTTGAGTTTAGGAGCAGAGGTTTATTTTTATTTTATTTTAAATTTTTTAAGACAGAGTCTTGCTCCACCAGGCTGGAATGCAGTAGTGTGATCTTGGCACTGCAACCTCTGCCTCCCAGGTTCAAGCAATTCTCCTTGCCTCAGCTTTCTGAGTAAGCTGGGACTACAGGCATGTGCAACCATGGCCAGCTAATTTTTGTATTTTTAGTAGAGATGGGAGTTCACCATGTTGGCCAGGCTGGTCTCGAGCTTCTGAACTCATGATCCACCTCGGCCTCCCAAAGTGCTGGGATTACACTTGTGAGCCACAGGAGCAGAGGTTTAAAAGGCGAAAGAAAGAGAAAGGAGAGCAGCCCTCTTTCTCTCGTGAGAGAGAGGGGTGTCTGAAAGGGAAATGCCTGCATAGTTCCTGAGAATCATCAATTAGTGGGTATTCAAGAAGTGGATAATATTTTAGAAAAGTGGAAAAGTCAAAAACAGTGCATTACTAGTGCTATTCTAAGCAAAATAGTAAATTAGGTACAGATTTCTAGTATGATTGGACACCTGAGACTGAAGTAACCAATGCTTAACTGCTAGACTTGGTCACTTCTTCTGCAAAAGATTTACTTTACCCTAAAACTCGACTAACAGAATATGTCAGATGAAGAACTAAGACTGACTCTTCAGTGGGGACAAGCCATTCAGAATCCATGGAACCAGGATTCTCATTTAATATTATACTGGTCAGGGTTCTCCAGTGAAACAGAACCAATAGGATAGATGTATAGAGACATAGGTAGATAGATAATTGGATAGATAGATACAATGAGATTTATTATGAGGAATTGAATGTATTATGATTATGGTGGATGAGAAGTCCCACAATCTGCCATTCGCCAACGGGAGACCCAGAAAAGCCAGTGATGTAAATCAGTTTGAGTTCAAAGGCCTAAGAACCAGAGAAGCCAATGTAGTAAATCCCATCCATGGGCAGGAGAAGACTGAGATAGATATCCACGCTCAAGCAGTGAGACAGAAAAAAGGAGCAAATTCCTCCTCCTTTCTTGGCCTTTTGTTCTATTCAAGCCCTCAGTGGATTGAATGATGCTCAGTCAGTGGGAAGGCAATCCACCTACTGAACCCAACAATTCAAATGCTAAGGTCATCCAGAAACACCCCCACAGACACACCCAGAAGTAATGTTTAATCTGGGCATCCTGTGGTCCAGTCAAGTTGACACATAGAATTAACCATCATAAATAATCATAAATATTAATAATTGTAATTGATACTATGACTTAAGCACCTAATTAGAGCCACATGCTTTACATACTTTTCCTCAATTTTAACATGGAAGAGTCATGGGGTACCTACCTAGCTCACTTCAATTTCCTTTTCCTGAGAACCATCCTTACCCAGAAATAGGTCCCATAACTGTGTTGCTACTATGGGGCTCCATCTCCCTGGCCACAGCTGATTGAATTAGAGGGCGATACTTGACAAAAAGGAGCAAAGCAGATTCTATTTCCACTATACTTTGAAATGGTGCCTAAAGACTAGTGTATCAGTCACTTGAACAGAAGAGTTATGAAGAAGCTATAGAGTGAGCATCTAAGAAGGATGAGAGATGGACCGAGTACCTGTTGGGTGCTTGCTTGTCACATTGTTCAGATCCTATTGAAACTAATCTACCTTTGGGGTCCATTTGATAACTCAGTGCACTTCCCCCAAAATTCTTTTTTTGTTGCATAAAGCTGGTTTAAATTATATTTGCTTCCTATATCAAACCTGTTTTATAGATGAGAACCATGAGAAGTTGAGTAACTTGCACAGGGCTACTGGCACAGGGCAGCAGAGCTGAGATTAAATCAATATCATATTGACTCTTGAGCTTGTTATTTATCTCCTATGCCATTAGAAGAAAGTGTTTCCTTTTCTCCGCTATCTTAGAAGGCTCAGACTCCTGTAAAATTAATTATAGCCATGTGACTTGTTTTGGTGAAAGAAACATACACAGAGGTGACATGATTCATTCATTCTTAGTGGAGATATTAATTGCCAGCACTTAACTCTCCATGCTGTTCCTTTTCCAGCACCTCCGAGAGAGCACATCACAGTATGGAGGAAACATAAGATCAAAGAAGCATCCAACACTGAGCTATCGCATGGAGAACACCTGTCCGGGAAGCCACCTAAACTGACAGTGGACTTCTCACGAGAAATAAAATTTGTTGTTTTGGGACACCAAGATTTTGGAGGTTTCTTTGTTTGACATTATCTACTCATCCTACTATAGTTAACTAACAACATCTTATGCTCCAGACCGACTTCTGTCTTTGATTTCATATTAAATTAATTCCAACTTCCTCTTCTCTTAGAGCATAATTTCAGTTATATATGGCTGCATAACAAACCACTCCAAAGCTGAAAACAACAATAAATTACTATTTCTCATAATTCTGTTTAACAATAACCCATGAGGAGCAAGTGAAGTCACCCATATTTTACAAAGGAGACTGGAGCTCAGAACGCTGGACACCTCAAATCACACAACTAGTAAATGGGAGAAGGGAAACTGCAGCTTGTGTCTGATTACTGCAAGGCCTGTGTGTCACAGTTACTCTGGCCAGCACACCCTGTGTTATCTAACAATGATTTCCATGTTCAATCTTTTCAGGTTTTGAAAATTGCTCCATTCACAAATGAATAAGAAAATAATCTATTAAAATATTTTTTCTAGAGCTTAGATTATTCATCGGTTATTTTAATTTGGAGGGACGTACCTAATTCTTAGAGACCTTGATAATGAACTTGTAACAGAGCTATTAGCAATGTTAACTCATTGTAAAACGATCCCCAACTAAGCCAGGATGGTTGTTTGGAAGTACACACCTATGCAAACCCTGAACGGGGAGTTATTTAGATTTTGCAGTGCCCAGATTTCTTCTCAGGGATAGAGCTTCTTTACTGTACCCTAGTCCCATGACAGAATTTCAGCCCAAAACTCCCAGTCCCACAGTTCCTTTAAGGTATTTATTCTACTGTGCAAATGTCAGTACTCATGAGACTTGTATCACTGGGGTGGGATGGGTTGGCTTGCACATTAAAATTATACTGAGAAAGTGTCCAAAATTACACTCATTATTGCTTGTAATTCCTGGATGCTTGAGACTAAGTCACATGGAGATTAGGATCAGATCTGGTTCAGAAGTGCTACCTGTGGTGCTGTTGCTATGGTAACCAATGGCCAAGGAACAGAGATCCAGGGAAACTATAGTCTTTGCTGCCATCCTGAGCTGGGCTCTGTCACCAGACCCTCCCTGGATGACATGCTTCACTGAGGAATGGCTTCTGCTGCATCCTGTTGTATGGTCCCATACTCTCGGTCCCCAGCCTCCAAATGACACTTTTCATTAGGAACCTCAGCTGCCTGGGCCTTTGATCCATTCCCTTCACTTTTGTTGTCACGTTTCTGATTTGGAGAGAAATAAGGAAATGTTTGTACAAACAAAGACCTCTGAACCCCCTTATTGTGCAGATGCCCATGTAAGAAGCTTCTACTTTAAGCAATCTCAGCCTTCCTCATGACACCCTAACTTCACGGGAGTGAGGCAAATATGAAGAAGTGTCCCGAGGTGAGAAGAACTAGAAAAATAAGTCAGGCTGACTATGGGAGTTTGGTGAAATTGTAGTACATGATTACCACTGGAAAAAATAATTTTCTATACTGACCTAAAGTTGGAGCAACCAATATTCCTATCTCAGGCCCCTTGTCCCCATCAGAGGGTCACATACCTTGTTTTGTATCCTGTAGTACTCATTTAACACATACTGATATTTAGGTTGAGTAAGACCGAAGAAGAGAGCAAACCTTCCACCAAGGAATTCACATGCTAAAAGAAAGAATGAGCACTTGGATAAACGGAATTAATAACTAAAGCTGAGGGCCGAGTTTAAACTACTCTGCAAGTGATCTCTTAATATACTTAACTTGAAGCCAGATAAAAGATTTCAATTGCCTTGGCCTATCAAAAATTCTAGGATTCAAAGGAAAATCTTCTATCTTTATATGGGATTATATATAAACTATTTTTTCCAGATGTATATATCAGGAGAGATATTCAATATATTTTAACATCAGGTACAGCATGGGTCCTGAGCAACCAGAACAGGTACTGCTCATTAACCCCGTGTGTACTGGCTTACATTTCTATTAAACCCGAACTCAACCCAGTGTTACCAAGACCCACATCAGGAATTCCTCCATGCATCCAGACAGACTCCTCAGAAGTCGTTCAAGGCCTTCCTTGTCTGCCTTCGGTAGCAAGGTTGCCTGCAGGCTCAGCACTGGGATTGTCAGAGGCAGGGATAAAGGTGTAGCATGAATAATGAGTGGTTCCTGAAGATGACCCCTAGAAATGTCTTCCTTTAAAATTAGAGGATTTCTGACAGCCTTCTCTTCTGCCCCAATTATAGAACTTTCTGATTCCTTTGATTCATTCTGCCTCTTGGGATATCACTCACATAGGGCATCAAAAGGATTTTTTAATATGTCTTATCTTTTCAAAAATATGCTATCTCTTTGTTCTGTATATTTGTAGTAGATAAGTTTTTAAAAAAATATTAAAATAAATCTTAGGGAGCTTTCCTGTTTATGACCTACTAGAATTTTAAATTGAAAAAATTAATTACCAGTGTCATCTGGGTTTCAACTCCATTCAAACAAAATCTCTGTGTAGAGAGACCATAGTCCTGACTGCTAGCATCTTTATGCCTCTACTGCGACCTTGAAGCTCTGGTCAGGAGCATTTTTTCACTGCAGCTCTGTTTGGAACTCACAAGAAATCCAGGCTCGCCATGCATCCTATCTCTGCAATCTCAAATCAAAACTCAACATGCAATCACTCTTCTCCATACTCTCAATCCCATATTGAGTTTTGCTTCTTTTACATGACCTAATCTTCTCTGATTCCCTCCATCTGAAACATATCCCCTTTTTTGTTTTGTTTGTTTGTTTGAGACAGAGTCTCGCTCTGTCAGGCTGGAGTGCAGTGGCGCAACCTCGGCTCACTGCTACCTCTGCCTCCTGGGTTCAAGCGATTCTCCTGTCTCAGCTTCCCAAGTAGCTGGGATTACAGGCACAGGCATTTTTATGTTTTTAGTAGAGATGGGGTTTCACTGTGTTGGCCAAGATGGTCTCAAACTCTTGACCTCATGATCTGTCTGCCTCGGACTCCCAAAGTGCTGGGATTACAGACATGAGCCACTGCTCCCGGCCCGAAACATATCTTTTTAAACCCTTTTGCCTTAACTGAAGTGTAGAGCTTTCTGGAAGACGGCATTTTTTTCTGTTAACATATTGCAGTCAGGGTAGGGTTAGTATTGACTGTGATTTTCAGTGTAACTTCTGAATCACTAACCCTCTGTGCTTGTGTAAATGCATTTATTGCTTGAAGGTTCATATTATCTGACTAAATCACCTGACTAAATCACCTCTTCTTTACTTTTTACTGTAATTTAAAGACTCCCTGGTCACGTGGTCCTCAAGCTAACCTTAGCCAGCCACACTGTCATAGCTCTCCGAAGGTGTCTCCTCCATATGTCAGCGTGCCTGAGTCTTCCAGGTCATAGTCCCTGTGCACTCCTACCCTGGCAATGGTGAAAACAACTTATAATTACGAGCATGTTTGCTGATCTACATGATTCACTGAATACTGAGCCCCTTGAAAGCAGAGACTGTCATTCATCTTTGTGTCCCAGGGTCCAGCACAGTGCTGAGCATATAGTAGACAGTACATATTTTTTAAATGAATGAATGAATGAAGATCACTTTCTAAGAGCTATGAATACATTTTATATTTTCTCAGATTCTTAAAATAGTTTGCCTTTCTATCGTATTCACAAGATGTGCAAGTTAGAAGGAAATTAGTAATTGGATGTTGTCAACTATGTCTTAAAGAAAATTGGTGAAAGTAAAACAAAATACGATTTAGTATTTTGTTATAAATATTCACTTAGCCCAGTCATTATGGCTCTAAAAGTTCATGTTTATAATAAAACGATTATGATGAGGGAAGTAGAAACTTAGAACTGTGTCATACAATATATATATATTTTTTTGAGATGGAGTCTTGCTCTGTCACCAGGCTGGAGTGCAGTGGCACAATCTTGGCTCACTGCAACTTCCGCCTCCATGGTTCAAGCGATTATTCTGCCTCAGCCTTCTGAGTAGCTGGGACTACAGGTGTGAGACACCACACCCAGCTAATTTTTGTATTTTTAGTAGAGATGGGGTTTCACCATGTTGGCCAGGATGGTCTTGATCTCTTGACCTCGTGATCCACCTGCCTCGGCCTCCCAAAGTGCTGGGATTACAGGCATGAGCCACCACACCCAGGCAATAATTATTGTTTTAAACTTGGAAGTTTATTCAGATGAAGAGTCAACTAAGGGAGGACTGATTATTATTCTCCAATATTTGAAACTCTGGGCCTATGAAAAAGGCATCTAGCCTAGTTTGGTATGGATGGTTCTAAGAAAGAAAAGTAGGAACTTTAAAGTAGATAAAATTTGGGTCGAGATAAGAAAGAATTTCCTGATGAGAGTTGGTAAAGGATGAAGGGTCAGCCTCAGGATGTGAGGTTCTGTGCCTTTGGAAATTAAAGCCCAGCCCAGATCTCGCTTCTTCAGGATGCAATGGAGTGGCTCACACAATTGGAAGTCCACATAACTCTGAGGGCCTATCAATATTTATATCTATTGAGGACAAAAAAAAAATAACCTTAGCAATACTTACTAGAAAATGAGGTGCTTGCTATTCGTCCTGCCCAAAATCGTAGGTAGGGCCCCCAAGAAAGTTTAGACTGCAAAAAGGAGAAATCAGCATAGAGTAATTAATAAGAATGGTGACTGCAGATTTGTTTTAATGTAGAGATTTCAAAATGCTCTCTGTATGTAGTATGTTCCATTTGCTCTCTCACAGATGAAGAGACTAAGATGATTAAAATTATAAGTTGCCTACACATGGATCGAAAACAAAAAAGGAGACCAAGGACTTAGTTTAAAGCTGTTTTTTCTATAAACTTGATCTGGCTCAATCTCTCATTCATTTACCACCTCCCCCACCATGTTCCCTAATATTGACATACTAAGCTTACAGGGTCAAGTGTTGAATTTATGCTCTGCTCCTCTTGTTCCTCTTTTTCTTCTTCCTCCTCTTCCTCTGTGCTATATTCTTTCATGATGTCTCCGTCAACAAAATGGATAATCCTTCTAGGAGTAGTCTTTTCGGAAGGCACACTCTTCTCTAGGTCTAACTGCTGAAAACCGTCTATCTCCATAATGAAACAAAACAACTAGAAAATTAAAAACAGGGTACCTTGTAGGGCAAGTGACCCACAGCTGAGAGTTATCTAGTTATCTTCAATGGCTAGTAAAGACAGAGATTTCAAAGGTAATCACACTTGTGACCTCTTCCATTCTTCAAATCCAAGAAAGGACTGTTGTGTTCTCTACCAAAATGGAGGCATAAGTAGTGAACATGTGAACTTTCAGTCTTCAAACAAAAGTGTCAACAGGGTTTCTTACCTTTTGTTAATTTTAAAACCCACAATTTTTAGTAGGAAGGAGTCACTGCCTTGCAGAAGTTTCTCACTTATTTCAGTAAATATTGAGAAGCAGTGTAGGAAATGGTTGCATATAGACTTCACAGAGAGGAGAAAACATGTGCAAAGTATATATTTGGTAAAAGACTTACTTTCAGAACATGTAAAGAATGATTACAGTTCACTAGGTAAAAGGTAAACAATTCAATTACAATATGGTCAAAATATTTGAGTAGAGATTTTACCAAAGATTTATAGATGACTAATCTCATTAGTCATTAGGGAAATGTAAATTAAAATCATAATGAGATATTATGACATACCCATTGTCATGGCTTAAAAAGAATTTTTTTTTTGAAATGGAGTTTAGTTCTTGTTACCAGGGCTGGAGTGCAATGGTGTGATCTTAGCTCACTGCAACCTCTGCCTCCTGGGTTCAAGTGATTCTCCTGCCTTAGCCTCCTGAGTAGCTGGGATTACAGGCACCTGCCACCATGCCTGGCTAATTTTTTGTTATTTTAGTAGAGATGGGGTTTCACCATGTTGGCCAGGCTGTTCTCAAACTCCTGATGTCAAGTAATCCACCCACCTCGGCCTCCCGAAGTGCTGGGATTACAGGTGTGAGCCACCGCGCCCAGCCTATTTTTTTGTTTTTGTTTTTGTTTGTTTGTTTTTTGAGACAGAGTCTTACTCTGTTGCTCAGGCTGGAGCGCAGTGGCACAATCTCAACTCACCACAACCTCCACCTCCTGGGTTCAAGCAATCCTCCCAGTGAGACTCTATCTCAAAAGAAAAAAAATGCAATAAATGTATGCTAAAAAATTAGTAAATAGGATGAGAAATGTCAGGAAGTATTGACTTTTAAAAACACTATTTTGGTGGGGACAGTATAAAGACAAAATAGAGTTCTAAGTATTGGATAAAAAAATATGAGTTGACTTCAAGTATTGTTTTGGGATAGGCTGGATAAGATAGGTTGCTAAGTATGCAGGTTAACAATTGAAAAGTAACTAGACAAATAATGGAATTAGAATGTGTAGCTTCAAAACCAGTGGAAGAAAATAAAAAAGAAAAACACTCTGATGGAAGGCAAGAAAGAAGCAACAGTAAAGAAAAATCATGATCAAAAGAAACACTGAATAAAATATTAGCAATAATTCCAAGTAAGTCAATAATCATAATAAATGCAAATGGATTATCAGCCATCCATTAAAATGAAGAGTAGCAGATCAAATTTAAAAAATATTTTATGGGCAATGCAAACATGAATGAATATATATATATATATATACACACACACACAAATAAATCACCAAATCTTATTGCTACAATGCTAAGCTTAATGCCTTTGTCAAAAGTCAGAGTTGCAAAAGACTTGCCAAAGGTTACATTTGTCATCCACAGCAAGGTGATGTGATATCTCTGCTCCAGGGACTTCTGAATATTACACATGGTTTTCCCTGACTTAGTGATGGTGTATCACAGAAAAGCCTTAGTAAGAAGTAGATAGGTATTACCATTTAATTTCTGATTCCAAAGAGCAGCAAAAAAAAAAAAAAAAAAAAGCCCATTTTAATTTGGTATGTAAGACCAACAATATGTGAAGCATAATACTATTTCACAAATAAATATTATCAGTGCCCTAAGAAACAAAGCACACTCTATAACAGGCAAGAGAAAATTAAAACATTTTCAAATAGTAACTTACATAATCCCTCTGTATTTTTCTTTCATTAGCTACGTTTGGTGTTGAAAGTAGTACAAATTTTGATGTTAGGGATTATTCAATAGATGATAAAGTTAAGAGTTAAGGGTTCTGTAGGCTGAGGCCATGCAGAGCGCTTGGGTATGCTGCCGTGGAGTGTTCTCTCGCATGGCTAACAGGGTGGAACATGTTTGAGTTGTGGGAAGGTCTATATTTACTCAAAATTATTTTGTTATGAGAATCATCTGGGGGTCTTTTAAATAATTTCTAAGACAGGCCACACCTCAGGCCACTTAAATCACAATCTCTGTGGGTGGAACTCAGGCACTAGTTATTTTTTTGAAGCTGCCCAGGTCATCCCAGTGTTCAGGCAAGTTTGGGGACCAATGCCCTAAAGAGAGTGGGACAAGAAGAAACTTTGAAACCGAAACAGAAAAAGACTTGTGATTGAGTGATTGGGTTTATTGCAGAAAGCTTAAACATCAGGCTAGTTGCAGGACACCTTGCCTTTTTTTTTTCCAAGGGGCTTTCTTGCTTTCTACTTTCTGAACGCTTCTTCACCCTGCCCCAAGCTAAAAAGCTTAAATATCAAAAGTTTAGAAATTAGGCCTAATAGTGTCATTAGAGTCAATTTACCCCTCTTAAGACTGTCCAATTCATACATTTCCAAACCTAATGAAACATAAGCAGCTCACCTCCTGTATTATCTTACAGACTGATGATATCTGTTGGCTCTCTGAAGAAAAGACCAGTCTCTGTACTTCTTGATTATAGTGTTGTACATTAACAGACATACACGTGTTTAAGTTCAGAGGGCTCTCTGAGAGGCTAGAGGGGAGTGGAGAAAGCATGAACCAGCACAAGAGCGAGCACTAGCTGGCTCACCGTTGGTTTACTGAATGTTTTTCTGCCACCTAATGGGCATTTTAGAATATGCTATGCAAACTTCATGTTTATAATCAGTGCGTGTCTCACAGAGGGATCTCGATAGTGAACAGGTTGGAATCAACTTATTTACAAAAACCTTGGGAACACTGCCAGCTTCACACTTAGATGTGGATATTTTGTAAGTGATATTTTAGCTTCAGTTTCTTTTTTTTCTTTTTTTTAGACATGATCTTGCTTTTGCCCAGGATGGGGTGCACTGGGTGTGATCTGTTGACTTCACAACCTTCACCTCCCATAGGCGTGTGCCACTACACCCGGCTTTTTTTTTTTTTTTTTTGTAGTTTTTGTAGAGGTGGGGTTTCCCTATTTTTGTCCAGGCTGTTCTTGAACTTCTGGGGTCAAGCAATCCTCCTGCCTCAGCCCCCCAAAGTGCTGGGATTACAGGCATGAGTCACCACACCCCGCTGTTTCTTAACCCCAAATATAAAGGATAGTACCCAAGCATATAATGTAATTAACAGAACATACAATCTCTCTGACCTTTTGAATACTGTATTAGCCCAGGGCCCAGTGACTGGACCTCTTCTCTTTTCTATCTGCTTTCTTGATGATCTCCTTTGGCCCTATGGCTTTAAATACTATGCACACACAGGTGACTGCAACATTCATATTCTCCAGGTCGGACTTTTTCCCTGAATCTCACAAATCAACTACCCGCTTGACATCTCAATCCTGGTGTGTCTGTATCTTTGCTCATGCTTTCGGTGCAACTCTCACTCCATCTCCCCGCAACACGCACATACTCACACACTTACCTCTCCTCTTCTGGCAGCCTTCTCATCTCAATAAACGGCAACTCTATTCTTCCAGTTGCTCAGGCCAACAACATTAAAGTCATTCCTGGTTCTTCTTTAATCACTCCTCACATCACATCTGCCAGGAAATTCTCTTGGAGGTTTCTGGAATCACACTTTCATGACTCCACTGCCACCACCCTGGTCTGTCATCTCTCACCGTTGCCATCGTCTTTCACCTAGATTATTGCAGCGGCCTCCTAATTCGCCCCCTCCAGTCTACACTCGAAAAGGAGGCAGAATTGTTAAATCCTAAGTCAGATCATGTTATTTCTCTGCTTAAAACTCGCCAGTGGGTTCTCGTCTCACCTAGTGTAAAAGCTGAAGTCCTCACAATGGCCTACAAGGCTGTATATTCAACCCCTGAGCTTTATGATGCCATCTTGTACTACTCTTCGCCGACTGACCATCACTCTAACCACACCAGCCTTGCAACTCCTTGACCACACAGGTCCTCCCTCTCTCTCTGCAGAGAGCTCTGTACTGGCTGCTCTATTAGTCTTTCTTTCCAGACTGTTCATTGCTCATTTCCAGTCTTTAACTCAAATGGAGACTACGCTGAGCTCCTCTTTCAAGGAAACCTCCCATTGCCTTCACCACGGCCCTTTGCATCTTACCTCCTGTTTCATTTCTTCTCCTTAGCACTTACCAACACTGAATACTCCATATTCCACGTCTCTGTCTTCCCTTTCCTTCCTGTCCCGCCCCTTGGCAGAGTGGGAAGGTTTTTACCTCTATGTTCACTGCTATATCTTCTGCCCGTACAATGCATTACACATAGCTGGAACTCAGTATTTGTTTAACAAATGAATCATACATTTAGTTAATGTTAATGGGTGGGAGGAGGTATATAACAGATTGGAAAAATAACAAACTTGAATTGTCTTTATTTCCTGCTTTAGAAATGACTATCCTTCATTTAATATTCTATATACTAATCATTTCATTCTGATTAACTCCTTCACTGAAAAGAGTTAAAGCATTATAATCTGTACCAAGAAAATAACACATTAGTTCTACATCTTGGCATTTAACTTCAATAAGTAAATATACTATTTTAAGTATATAACACTTTAAAATTTTCTAGAATTCTTTCCATTTTCATTTATCTAGAAATGTTTTCAAATGGACTATGCTAAAATTCAGCTAAGAACTGATGTTGGGTCATTACACAGGAGCTAATTAGCGTTGCTTGCCCGGAGCTGCTGGTCCCCCTTCCTGCTTCCACCTTTCCTTCTTCCTGAGGTGGCTGAAAGGTCAAACCCCTAGTGAGAGCAGAGACCCAAGGCCCCACTGCGCACCTCAGAGGCAGAGCTTCACAGCACGGTATTCACTGACATTTCTCTAGACCCCTACACCTGAGGGAACTGACCTGCTCCCATCAGTGACCTGCTGTGTGTGTATCAGAAGGGAAATCACTGTTGCTCCTTGAGAATTAAAGAGCATCATCACCTGGCAGGATTGCTGTGTCTTTATTTGCAGAATTAAACCATATACATGCACCCCAGTGCCTGCATGTCTGTCCATGCCTGTCCCACTGTGGTGTTTCCCAACTTTTTTTACATCATGGAAGATGACAGAGAAAATTCTTTGGAATTCTGGAGGCGACCAGCCTGGGAGCTCCAGCCACCGTAAGTCCTGCCCAGGAAGCCACCCAGAAAGCTTCAATCAACAGCTTGAGACAACCTACTTGTGAAGCTCTGCATTAGAGAAGCAAATTCAAGTTTGACATTTTCTCAGGGGAGTGCTCTGAGAGTGACTGTATAAGCTTCTACCGACTTCAAGCAAATCATAGGCATCAGATACATTAAATGCTGAAGTGAGAGCTCTGGCTTTTTGGATAAGCACAATCAAATATATTTTCTGTTTTATAATTCGTCAACTTCTCTTCATTTTGATCCCTTTATTATTAAAACATTCTTAAATAAAAATTTAAATTTTAAGCAAATTGTTGAAATGTCAAATAAAAAAAAATCTTTAGATACAAAGTTATGGTAACCCAAAGTGACATTCCAAGTTTATTTTATACAGTAAAATGCAGTATTTTCTAAAGCATGATTACTCTAATTCTAAAAGAATTCTGAATATGGTTTTATTTCTGCATGCATTTATACAACATTAGAAGTGTCACCTCAAGTTTGTAAGGTATAGTTTTCTACAGATTATTGCGCAGCGACAAGAAGTCTCTAGCTTAGCAAACCATAGTACAAATACTGCATCATGTTGGTTATTACCAAGCACGAGACATAAACAGGCCAATCAAAATCCTTTGAGATTAAGAAGTGATAGGTACTAATAAACATAAGCAGACACTGAACAAGTCAAGGACACTGAAGGTTTAATGAGTCCATGAAGCATAAAATAATTGATGCAAATGTATCTGTCTTTTATTTTTTTGTGTGACAGTGCCTCACTCTGTCGCCCAGGCTAAAGTGCAGTGGCATGATTGTGGTTCACTGCACATGCTACCACACCCAGCTCATTTTTTAATTTTTGCAGACACAGGATTTCCCCATGTTTTCCAGGCTGGTTTCAACTCTAGGGCTCTAGCAATCCTCTCGCCTCAGCCTCCTGAAGTGCTGGGATTATAGGCATGAGCCACCAGGCCTGGTTATCTGTCATTTTAAAACATTATCATGAAGAATGATTTTGCACTGTCTTAACTGTTACTAGCTTAGTAAGTATAAAAATATTTATCAAAAAACAAGAGATCTCAATGAAATTGTAAGTAAAATTACTTTTATTTTCATAAATAGATAACCCATTATACACTTTGAGTAGAAGTAACATGTTAGTTGTCACTGCCCAGTACGAAATGCATGTAATAGTAAACACAAGTAGTTACATCTCTCTATAACCTTCATGTAATTTCTATACATTTGATAACAACGTTTTAAAAAACATTATATATAATGGGATATTTTAGTCAACAAAATATTTATCTGCTCATGTCAAAGATGCCTACTGATTTAAAGTAATACCAGTACTGCTTCGTTTTACAGAAGCACTGAACATATGACATTTTCCATTTCATATACGACAGTATCATCCCCAAAAATGTCAATGTGAAAATTTAGTAAGTAGTTTAAGAAGCACAAGTATCTAAGAGAAGTAGGTCCCACAAGCCAGAGAGTAAAGAGATGGCATCAAGTACTGTTTAATGTTTTGTCAGTAAGTGGCACACAACAGACAAGTGATTCTGTAAAAAAGACAACAGAAAATGCAGGGAGATTTAATAAAGCATTTTTCCATAGATATTAAATAAAATTAAATGTCTGTTTAGTTATTACTCCACTTATTTCAGAAACTGCAGCTTCAAACATTAATATTATACTGCAAACAGTATTTAGTATTTCATATGTTAAGAAAAAACCTAATTGTATCTACATTTTTTTAAGGAATGTAAACTATGATATATGATTTAAGTAATCACTTATATGAATGCAATATTGATTCAGATAGGCATAATCTACTCATTTTTCATAATGAAATGTATATTCCTATTTCAACACTTTGCTTATTTCTCACAGGGCTGCTGTGGATTCAATGGCTTATCTATGTAAGTGTCCAGCACAGTGTCTGGCACAGAGTAAGCTTTTAGCGTATGCTACTTATATCATCTATACTAAGTGAATCAACCTGTCACTTACAATAGGAAAATTACCTAATGCTCCAAGAGAATAATCAGAAGTTAAGCCTACAGATGTGTGACTTCTGTTTAAGTATTATGCATCCACTATTTCCCAAATTTGCATACACACTAAACTAATTGTTTCAACTGTTACAATCTATTTTTAAGATCATATTGTATCTGTATTTGTTCTCTATGTTTTTGCTATGGCCTTTGGCCTAAAGAATTATAATTCTGACAGGACATAAAACCACATAAAAACAAATGTACACTGAAATCAGGTAACCAAGGCATTTTACTATAACTTCTTTAATAAAGAAGTAGGGAGTTACCAGTGTAGTTCAGGACAACCTATCTCATTTTAGTTTTTTTTCTTTACATCATGCAATATTTGACTTCAAAATACATTTTCCATTCTGTCTTCTCTTATATATAAACATTAAGACTATCATAACTATTACAAAGTTCTGGCCTCTAAGTAAAAAACCCACTAGAAAAGATATTTGTAAAAATCAGTGCAGGGCTATGGATACTGAATGAATGAAGCACAGGGCTACTGGAATAGGGATAAGTTCTTAAAGGTCCCTACATACCTATAAACACTGATTTTTGAGTAAATTATTGATTCTAATACATGTAAAGGACTTGGTGTGATGGTTTTCTGATCTTCAACTATAAGTGACAATTTTTCCACCCACCAGAAAAGATAAATGACTGAGAACATAAGTCTGTGCTCTGATATTAACACGATGGAAAAGTGGAAAAACTATCTCTGTTAAAAACGGATTCCTGTCATTCTTCTGATACCAAGTAAGAGGAAGGAAAATAAAATTTTTTGTGTGTAAATAGAAAAACATACCTGAGGCTGGGGCGGTGGCTCACACCTGTAATCCCAGCACTTTGGGAGGCGGGTGGATCAGCTAAGGTCAGAATACTGAAATTAGGCCAAATCTTAAAGACCAGCCTGGCCAACATGGTGAAACCCGTCTCTACTAAAAATACAAAAACTAGCTGGGCATGGTGGCATGTATCTGTAATCCCAGCTACTAAGGAGGCTGAGGCAGGAGAATCACTTGAATCCAGGAGGTGGAAGTTGCAGTAAGCCGAGATCATGCCACTACACTCCAGTCTTGGCGACAGAGGGAGACTCTGTCTCAAAAAAAAAAAAAGGAAAGAAAGGAAAAGAAAAAAGAAAAACATACCTGAAACCACAATTTGGGCCAATATTGACCTGAAACTTATTTAACAAAAAGACCCAACCCCCAAATACACCCTTTAGAGGCACAATAAAATCTTCCAAATGTTGTCCTGATTGAAAAGGAGAATCTGAAAACAAAGCAAGAAACACCTCCTGTATTAAAAATCAAGAACAAGTAAGCTGAAGGCAGATGCCCTCTGAATGCAATAGTTATTCTACAAGCTTCAGAGAACTCATTTTGAGAAATAAGAGCTGAAATTTTGTGGTTTATCTTATCTACGGCTAGAGAAATTCAAAGTGCAAACTGTATTTTAGGAGATATAGCACCCAGTGTCCTTTTGAGGTTTGATATCTGGTTCTTTTACAGGTTTTCCTTCTTCTTCTGGTTTGGGTTTAGTCTAGGGAGAAAAAAAAAACAGTTTAAGTATATAAACGAAGACTGAGAAAACAAACACTAAATCTTTTCCATTTCAGACTTTTAAAAGATGCTATATTAAATTATATAACACGGATACTGACAAAGCTATTCCAACAGACCAATTTATTTTAAGATATAATCGAAAAGCAACATTTCAGTAAAGATCAAAATCTAGTTTGGTAGGCAAAAATCAAGCTAATGGTACTCCGACTGCATATTCTTTTCTAAGTGATCTATCTATACACGTAGAACCCTAAAGGTTAGACATGACTTATGACAGTAATAGGCTATCTCTTCGGGCATTATTTCATAATTGATCAGAATATAAAGACAGTTATTTTAAGGAACAAATTTTAATATGGGAAGGAAATTATATAAACAAAACCCAATTTCAAGGAAGGAGCAATGGCTATAAAATAATTTTCATTCATTCGTCACAGATCCCTAGTCTTTTGGTAGTTAGACCTCAAAATTTCCACTTAATTTATCATTTGATTTAGAACACCATGATGTACTTAGATAGCAATAAATAAAAGTATTCTTATTTTATCCCTGGATTCATAGAATACTGTAATTAGGCCAAATCCTCAAACGCTCTGCAATTTGCCTATAGCAATATATAAACATGGATGATCTTTTCTCCCACACTCTTTTAAAGGAGGCACTAACAAGTTGTAAAGAGGCAAGATAATGTGTTGAAAAGAATGTCATTATTCAGAAGACATAAGGCCTAGAGGTCTTATCTCTGAGAGTGTTCTACCACAGATTATACTAAGCACTGTAACTCTCTAACTTAGCATTTAGACAAAGATATGTATCTATTTAAATAAAGAAAAATATCAAAATGCTAACTCTGAATTTTCTTTTAAACTTTTGGTAATGAAAGCAAAAAACAAAACAAGACAAAACAATCTCATACACTGTCATCCTTGGGTCTTTTGGTGAGATCAAATGCAGCCAATGTTTCTGGTGTCCACTGAGCACTTGTAGGAGGAAATTCGAAAGATACAGGCTCTACGAGACCATAATTTGCTTTGAGTTCCAGCTGTGGGGCTTCTGTTGGAATTTTTTGAAAGTAACTGCAAAAAATTCATTCATTTGTTCATTATTTGAGAGCCTACTATGTTCAAGGTCGTGTTTGGGACAATGATAGTTTAATCATGAATAAGAAATTTTCTGCCTCATATAGATAAGTAAATGACAAAATCAAGACATTTTGTCAATTACAATACAATGTACTGGAGCTACCATGGATGTAGAGTGCTATAAGAATGCAGACAAGGGGAATTAACCCAGAACTAAGTTCAGTGACTCTTTCCAAAGGAAATCATTAAAGATGAACTAGACATGTTTAAGGAAGTGAAAAGCTCAGTATGTATAGATGAAGAATATAAAGGGAAGAATGTAAGGAGATAAAAGCAGGAATAAGATTGAGTCTACCCACCTACACAGATGGTAATCTACAGTTTGAAAAACACTGATTTAATAATGGAAAACCTCTTGAAAAACAAAACAAGAAAAACTGAGAGCTGAAACCAGCGTGAGGTGAATATGCAAAGGAGGTTGAGAAGACCACATTAAAACATGGAGAAAGAATGGCAGGTGGAGTTAAGAGAAAATCAGGACACTATGTGAGTGTCCTAATGAAATAAACTCTACATTAATAACTAATGTTTTAATTTTAAAGTCTGCTTGTATATATTATCCAAAGTAGAATAAAAGGCCCTACACAACTGAACTTTATCACTAATGTAAAGAGAAAACTAATGTGAAATGTAAATACTATATATATTTGAGACAGTGTCTCATTCTTGCCCAGCTGGAGTGCAGTGGCTCAGTCATGGCTCACTGTGGCCTTGAAATCCCAGGCTCAAATGATTCTCCCACCTCGCCCCCTGAGTAGCTTAGACTACAGGCGTGTGCCACGGCCAGCTAATTTCTTTGTATTTTCTGTATAGACAGGTTTTGCCATGTTGCCCAGGCTGGTCTCAAACTCCTGGGCTCAAGGGACTCACCTGCCTTGGCCTCCCAGAATGCTGGGATTACAGTCGTGAGCTACCACACTTAGCCCATAAGACATAAAACTTTTGGAAATAGAGACTAACAGAAATGAGATTACTAAAATATTAGTATTTTAATATAATTATAAATCAATATATTATTATTAAAATAATATTAAGCTGTACTCACATAAATCCATTTTCTCTCTGACATTTTTCTAGGGTGTTCTTCACAAGGTTTCCAAGCTTCCTAAAGAACAGATGTCCTGAAGGTTTGATTGTTGGTCCAGGTCCTTTGGTTTCTCCATATTCTTTACACAGTGCTTCTGCCTTTGCATATACTACATGTGAAAGAGATATAAAGTCTTTGATTACAATTAACACTGCCTATTTATACCTACAAGGCTTTAAGTTGGAGGTAGTAAGACATTTACTGCTCTTAATATAATAGCAATGCCAATAAAAATTCTGTAAGTAGAAGGTGAGTATTTTCTATAGGTTCTAGGTTTTTGAAACATTTGTTTCTTTTCTCATTCATTCCCATTTCCCTCTCATAAACACAGCCAAAAGCACATATTCCCTTTTATGATAAAGTCATTTATTTTTAAAAGAAAGTTAGTATTTTGGCAGGAATACTTACATTTTTCTGCTTCTTGAAGAGACCTGATTGCTTCACCACATTTATCACTAGCCAATAAAGTCTGACCATGATAACAGTAAGCCTGATGAAATAAACACATTTTTATTCATTCTCTCCCTTCAAGATGCTTTCCCCTATTATTGTTCTGTGTTGATCAGATAAATTAGTACCTTCATTCAATGAAGTATCAATGCAATCCCTTACACTTCTTTACTTGATTAAGCTCTTCCCCAACCTTTGTTCATAGAAAAAATGGAAATACACCAGGTCTTGAGCCAAAATAGCCTTCTAACCATGTACTGCGCAAAACTTATTTGCTGAAATCTGTATTTAAAATTTAGGAAATAGTAGATAAAAAAGGAAATTATTGTGCTAATGCAGAGGAAGAGGAGATGTAAGAAATATCCACTTAGACCTGAAAAAAGGTTTTTGATGATCTCTCATATGATATTCTAATTAATAAAACAATTAAGTTTGGTAGGTATAACAGACTGATACTTAAATTCCAAAATGATGTTCATTGATATTCTTCACCAAGCTAGGTGATATACTGTGTGGTATGCCTTAATATTAGAATTAATAAATATGTTTCTCAATGCACAGGATGAAACAATTTAAAGAATTTCATTAAGCATGCTAAAAGTGGGTTTTCAATCAAACAATAATTCTATTGCCATAATCCACTTCTACAATGCTACATCATCTCTTTCCACCCACTCTAGTTCACAATGGTTGCACTGACTCTCAGTAAACATTTACTGAGAGTTAGCTGTCCATTATTTGTAAAATGCTAATGAAGACTCTGGTGAGACGAGAGACCTGGCACTCCAAGGGCTGGAAAGACAATAATTTACATAGTTTTTTAGCATTATGAATACTTACATAAGCTGTGTAGAAACACATCTTCAAGTGAAGATATTTTCTTTTCTCCATTTAGAAGAATATGCAGGCTCCAAACTGGATAAAGTATGATCTAAAGTTACATTTTAAAAAGCAAAATATAATTTCACGCTGATTCACTAGAAGACTTTTAGTTCGCGTGTTGTGATGCTAAGAGCCGAGAGAGTGGCATTCAAGTCTAAGACTCAAGAAATTAACTTTTTTGAAAAAAACACCTTTACTTGAAGTGATTTTCCCAAATCTATACTTTAAGTTACCCAACTTAAATACTCTGGCAGCTCTTTGATTTGATGGTTAATACAACTTTAAGTTAAAGATAATGATAAAAATAGATTGTGACCAAGAACTTCAAAGTGACTATTGTTTATACTGCTATATTATCTAATTTTAAAAACTTGAATGATACAGCAAAGCTCACTCTCTTCTCCTCTCCATATCCTTCTGCCAAACCTCTCTCCTCCCCACCTCTCCTCTCCGTATCCTTCTGCCAAACCTCTCTCCTCTCCACCTCTCCTTTCCATAACCTTCAAACATCTATCGATTTGTTCCCCTCTATTTGCCACTGTGCTGTATTTGTCAAGGCTTTCATCATTTCCTTCATAAACGACAAGAATTTCTTAAGTGCCAAGTCAAGTTAGCCAGCCTATTACTCCTTCATGCAGCAAACCCATCTCTAACACTGCAACTATAGGGACCTGTCTTAAATTCAAATCCTATCAAGTTAGCCTTCTAATCTTTTAACAGGTCCCAAATATCTATAGAATGAAAGGTCAAAGGCTTACAAACCAATGTTTGATCCCAACCATGCATACTTTTTCAATCTTTTCTCCTACTACTCATCCTGTGTTTCAGGTAAGAGCAACTGTCTGAAGTTTCCAGAATGCACTAAGTTATTTCTTATTTTTGTACTTACTAAAGAATTCTACACCCAAACTCGAAAGCTTCCTAGGGAACATAAGACTTTTATTTACACTTCACAATAAGGCTAAAGCATCTTCTTCTAGAGTCCTTCTCTAGGATGCCCATAATTCACTGCTGTGATATCTTACTTCAGGATATAATAATGGGGTTACATGTTTGTCTCCTTCCCTAAACTGCAAATCCTTTCTACTTGCCTCTTCTTAGCAACAAAAATAGTAACCATCTCATAAAAAAAAATTTGCATGTTTCCTAAATAAGTGAATGAAGAGTTAACAGGCTTATCACAGGAGTGTGTTCTAGGCCCAGTCTCCCACTTTCTAGCAGTTAAATTATGGGTTAGTCATGTTAACTCTGTGGATTTCAGATTCTTTATAAGGTTGTTATAAAGACCAAAAGAAAATTTTAAGCCAAACACCGTATAATTTTATTAGACATCACTGGTTTTCTCTTCCATTAGAAGTTATGCAGCATATTAAATATGAACGGTTCTATTTTAAATGCGGTAAATAATATATATTACTCCAATTTTGCAAATAATGACAGAATCTGAGAAATCTTGTTTTGTCCCCATTAATTAAAGATCAAATAAAAAAAATGTAACAACAGAATTAGCAGCTTACCAGCTTTTTTATAGAAATTGGCTGTTTCATACGCCGGTGCAGCAATTAGTCCAGGAGCATGTTTTAGTTCAATTGCTCAAGCAATTGTTACTGTAACCAAACATAATAAAGGGAATCTATAATTAAATTCACTCCATTCATCCTAAATTCAATTATAATAGCAAAAGACAGTCTGACAATCTCTTTGGGATTTTAATACAGTGATTGCTTGTATTAAACAATTTAATACAAGTGATCTGACCTCCCAGGTTCAAACCATCACTCCAACCTCACCCTCGTGAGAAGCTGGGACTATAGGCATGTACCACCATGCCCGGCTAATTTTTGAATTTTCTGTAGAGATGAGGTTTGCCACCTTGCCCAGGCTGGTCTTGAACTCCTGGCCTGTAGTCATCTGCCCACCTTGGCCTCTCAAAGTGCTGTGACTACATGTGTGAGCCATAGTGCCCAACTTTAAAGAGGAATTAAATGCCAATATAGACTTTCATTTAAAACAATCTTACAATATTTAGGATACCTTCTTGAGCTTTGGCCTGACACTGAATAACATATGCTTCTATGAGTCGTGATTCTAAATGTCTTCCTTTTTCTGCAGGTGTAATGAGTTTTGGGATATGACTTTCCTGAGAACAACAACAAAAGACAAAAAAGCAGCCACATTTTATTTTAATCCAGTTGTTAGAGATGAAGAAAACAGAAGTTATGAGACATTCAATTTGGAAACTTAGCAGAAATTTAGGGTACAAACAAAAACTATAAAAACTAACAATGGTAAGCTTATAAAGAACAAAAGTTCCTGTATACTAAAACTCAGCTTTTGTAAGAACAAGAAATTCAAGAACAAAATTTAAGTCATGATAGATTGCTGAGATTATGCAAGCCACACTATCATTTTGAAAAATGTCAACTGAAATAGTAACCAAAATTCTTTTTGCAGGATAGCCTTCATTCACATTAATAATTAAAGATATAAAGAGGGCAGACACAGTGGCTCATGCCTTGTATTCCCAACACTTTGGGAGGCCGAGGCAGGTGGATCACCTGAGATCAGGAGTTCGAGACCAGCCTGACCATCATGGAGAAAACTCATCTCTACTAAAAACACACAATTACCTGGGCGTTCCCAGGGTGGTGCATTCCTGTAATCCCAGCTACTTGGGAGGCTGAGGCAAGAGAATCGCTTGAACCTGGGAGGCAGAGGTTGCAGTGAGCCGAGATCGCACCATTGCACTCCAGCCTGGGCAACAAGAGCAAAAGTTTGTCTCAAAAAAAGAAAAAAGAAAATGGCCACATGTGGCTGGTGCCTACCACACTGCATAGCATAGCTCTGTATCGTCTTCTGGCTTATTTCATCAAGTTTAGTAACTAGTCACAAACATTTCAAGTAAGTCCCAGATTTTATTAAATTATTACAGTCTGCAATTTGTAAAGGATTTGTTGTGTGTGTGTGTGTGTGTGTGTGTGTGTGTGTGTGTGTGATGGAGTTTCGCTCTTGTTACCCAGGCTGGAGGGCAATGGCATGATCTCTGCTCACCGCAGCCTCCGTCTCCTGGGTTCAGGCAATTCTCCTGCCTCAGCCTCCTGAGTAGCTGGGATTACAGGCACACGCCACCATGCCCAGCTATTTTTTGTATTTTTAGTAGAGACGGGGTTTCACCACGTTGACCAGGATGGTCTCGATATCTTGACCTTGTGATCCACCCACCTTGGCCTCCCAAAGTGCTGGGATTACAGGCTTGAGCCACCGCACCCGGCCTGTAAAGGATATTTTCACCCAGATATCTTACAGACATCTGAAAAAAAATCAGTCTGGAATCAAATCCTTTGCCAACTCTGCTTCCTCTTGTCGTCCCTCCTTTGATAATGACATAACCACCCACCCATTTATCCAGCTGAAATCTAGGAATAAACAGGCAAATTTGCTTCTCGGCCAGGTGCCAGTGTAATCCCAGCAATTTGGGAGGCCAAGGCTGGCAGATCACTTGAAGCCAAGAGTTTGAGACCTGCCTGACCAACATGGTAAAACCCCATCTCCACCAAAAATACAGAAAAATTAGCTGGGTGTGATGACACACACCTGTAACCCCAGCTACTTGGGAGGCCGAGGCACCAGAATTGCTCGAACCCAGGCGGTAGAGGTTGCAGTGAGCATCAATATAAATAATAATGGTTACAGATTATAATTCATTTAATATAAGGGGAATGAGTTTATACCGAAATAAATAAATAATACAAGGGAAGAGGAGAAAGCTTTTTCTTACCATAGAATGTGTAGAATAATAATGGGAATAAAACATTTGGCAAGCAAAATAATGTATGTATGTATGTATGTATGTATGTATGTATGTATATATGTATTTGTTTATTGAGACAAAGTCTCACTCTGTCACCCAGTCTGGAGTGCAGTGGTGCAATCTCTGCTCACTGCAACCTCTGCCTCTCCCAGCTTCAAGCAATTCTCCTGTCTCAGCCTCCTGAGTAGCTGGGACTTCAGGTATATGCCACCATGCCCAGCTAATTTTTAGTAGAGACAGTGTATCACCATATTTGTCAGGCTGGTCTGGAACTCCTGACTTCAGGTGACCCACCCACCTCAGCCTCTCAAAGTGCTAGGGTTAAAGGCATGAGCCACCCAACCTAACAAGAATAGCATTTAGAAGCCAAGACCTGAGTATAAAATGTGCTCATTGCTATGAGGTGTTGCTCCTCCCAGACCCTCTCAGAGGATAGAGCTTTATTTATTTATTTATCCATATTTATTTTCATATATGAAAACCATGAGTTTATATGGTTACCTTCCATTCTTATCCAACACCACAAGATTCATTAATTCTAGTTATCTTCCTCTCCATATATAACTTCTCTCTCTGCCAGACAGACACCTGCCTTTCATTATTCTCAGTGTATTTATTTATTTGATCAGAGCCACTGTGTATTAACACATATCGCTGCACAGATGCCCTCATCACCTCACCTACTCTGGCCTATCCTCACCCCTGTACTGCCACAGGTGTCCCCTTCCTTCCACTCAGACTGTGACAATATTATTGGGCTATCACCACCCCCATTCACAGAGGCTGCCTCACCCCACTTGGGCTCTTATACCCTGTGATATAGTTTGGGTATTTGTCCTCACCCAAATCTCATGCTGAATTGTAATCCCTAGTATTAAGGGTGGGGCTTGGTGGGAGGTGATTGGATCATGAGGGTGGACTTCTTGTGAATGTTTAATACTATTACCATGGTGCTACCCTCATGATAGTTTGTGAGTTCTGGTTGTTTAAAAGCGTATAGCACCTCCCTGCTCTCTCCTTTGCCCCTGCTCTGGTCATGTGATATGCCTGCTCCCCCTTTGCCTTCCACCATGATTGTAAGCTTCCTGAGGCACCTCCAGAAGCCCAGCAGATGCCAGCATGATGCTTCCAGAAACGTGAGCCAATTAAGCCTCAAGTTTTTGTTTTGTTTTGTTTTGTTTTGAGACAGAGTCTCACTGTGTTGCCCAAGTTGGAGTGCAGTGGCTATCTCAATCTTGGCTCACTGCAACCTCCACCTCCCAGGTTCAAGTGATTCTCATGCCTCAGCCTTTCAAGTAGCTGGGAGGCACCCACAACACCCAGCTAATTTTTGTATTTTCAGTAGAGATAGAGTTTCACCGTATTGGCTAGACTAGTCTGAACTCCTGATCTCAAGCAATCCACATGCCTCAGCCTCCCAAAGTGCTGGGATCACAGGCATGAGCCACCACACCTGGCTACCTCAGGTATTTTTTTTTTTTGAAAGGAAAGGAAAAGAAGGAGAAAAAAGAAGTGAAGGAGAGAATGAAAGGAAGACAAAGAGGGAGAGAAAACAGAAATATTGCTTTATTCTAAAAATGGGTATTAATAATGGCAGATCAATATATTGTGTATTTAAGAGAATGTATATTTTGTGTATTTAAAATGGAGAACCCTATAAATATTTATAAAGTTTACTTGTTCCGGATCTGAGTTCAAGTCCTGGTTGTCCTCATCAATTTTCTGTCTCATTAAGTCTAAATCTCTATGGGTCTTATTTATCTGGGTGTTAGGGTCGTTAGCTCTTATGGTCACATATGTCTTTTTACCACTATGTCTTTGTTGCTTTAAAATCTATTTTATCAGATGCGAGAATTGCAACTCCTGCTTTTTATTTATTTATTAATTTTTGCTCTCCATTTGGTTGGTAAGTCTTTCTCCTTCCTTTTGTTTTGAGTCTTTGTGTATCTTTGGATGTGAAATGGGTCTGGATGCAGCACACCGTTAGGTTTTGGCTGTATCTTTTGATTGGGGGATTTGGTCGACTTAAATTTAGGGTTAATGCCATTTGATGTTAACTGGCTATTTTATCCATTTGTTGATATAAATTCTTCTTTATGTTGATGCTCTTTACTTTTATATTTTTAGAAGGCTAATACTGGTTGTTCCTTTCTATGTGTAATGCTTCTTTCAGAAGCTTTTGCAAAGCAGGCCTGGTGGTAATAAAATCTCTGAGTACTTGCTTGTTCATAAAAGATTTTATTTTTCCTTCAATTGTGAAGCTTAGTTTGGCAGGATATGAAATTCTGGGCTGAATGTTCTGTTCTTTAAGGATGTCGAATATTGGTCCCCACTCTCTTCTGGCTTACAGGGTTTCTGCTGAGAGATCTGCTGTAAGTCTGATAGGCTTCCCTTTGTAGATAACCTGACCTTTCTCTCTGGCTGCCCTTAGTATTTTCTCCTTCATTTCAACCCTGGTGAATCTAATGATTATGTGCCTTGGGGATTGCTCTTCTTGAGGAATATCTTTGTGGTGTTCTCTGTATTACCTGGGGTTGAGTATTGTCCTGCTTTGCTAGGTTGGGAAAGTTTTCCTGAATAATATCCTGAAGAGTATTTTCCAGCTTGGATTCATTATCAGGTACACCTATGAAACGTAAATTAGGTCTTTTCACATAGTCCCATATTTCTTGGAGACTTTGCTCATTCCTTTTTATCCTTTTCTCTCTATTCTTGTCTTCTCGTTTTATTCATTAAGTTGGTCTTCGACCTCTGATATCGTTTCTTCTACTTGAACAATTCGAGTGTTGAAACCTGTGCATACTTCTCGGAGTTCCCATATTGTATTCTTCAGTTCCATTAATTCACTTATATTCCTCTCTAAATTGTCTATTCTCATTAGGATTTTGTCAAACCTTTTTTCAAAGTTCTTAGTTTCCTTACATTGGGCTACAACATGTTTCTGGTGTGTGTGTGTGTGTGTGTGTGTGTGTGTGTGTGTGTGTGTGTGTGTTTTCAAGTTTTGCTCTTGTTGCCCAGACTGGAGTGCAATGGTGCAATCTTGGCTCACTGCAACCTCCACCTCCCAGGCTCAAGCAATTGTCCTGCCTCAGTCTACCAAGTGGCGCTTGCCACCATGCCCAGCTAAGTTTTTGTACTTTTAGTAGAGACAGGGTTTCACCATGTTGGCCAGGCTGGTCTCAAACTCCTGACCTCAGGCAATCCACCTACCTCAGCCTCCCAAAGTGCTGGGATTACAGGAGTGAGCCACTGGGCCTGCCCTCCCTGATTATTTTTTAATTAAAAAATTAATGCAAAAGCAAACAATAAAGAAAGACTAGAAACTCTCTTAGAAGGAGACTAAGAATCGCTTCTTGGCCTTTTGGCTAAGATCGAGTATAGTTTCTGTTTTTATCAGCTTAATATCTGATATGTCCCCTATTCAAAGACAATATATTAAATGGATTTTCAGAAATAGGAGATGGAATAGGAGCTTGCTCCATCCACTCCACACCTTGACCTGGTATTGCAGTACTTCCAGGAACAGTGCATCTAACCTCTGAAAAAAACATTTTTTTTTTTTTTTTGAGATGGAGTCTCACTCTGTTGCCAGTGTAGTGGCATGATCTCAGCTCACTGCAACATCCAACTCCCTGGTTCAAGCAATTCTACTCCCTCAGCCTCCTGAGTAGCTGGGATTACAGGTGTGCTCCACCACATCCAGGTAATTTTTTTATTTTTAGTAGAGACGGAGTTTCACCATGTTGGCCATGGTCTCGATTTCCTGACCTCATGATCTGCCTACCTTGGCCTCCCAAAGTGCTGGGATTACAGGTGTGAGCCACAGTGCCCAGCCAAAAAAAC